CGCGAGAGGACGACGGGCTAGGGGGCGCGAGAGGAGCCGACAGCGCAGCTTGAGGGCGCGAGAGGAAGACGGTAAAAGAAGGGCGAGAGGCCGACGGGCTAGGGCGCGGCTCGCTGGCGTCCAGCCATAAGCGCGGCTCGCTGGCGTCCACGCCACCAGCACGGCTCGCCGGCGTCCAGGGTTAAGAGGGGAGGCTCGCGTCCTCCACGCAAGCTAAGTTGATAGTGCTCGTCCTCTGGCGCCCAAGTTTGAGGGTGCTCGTCCTCCAGCCAAGCTTGAGGGCGCGAGAGGCCGACGGGCTAGGGGGCGAGGGCGAATGAGGGAAGTGAGGCGAATGAGGGCGAGAGGGCGACAGCCAAGCTTGAGGGCGCGAGAGGCCGATGGGCTAGGGGGCGCGAGAGGCCGACGGGCTACCAGCGCAGCTCTCGTCCTCCGCGCCACCAGCGCGGCTCTCGTCCTCCACCCCGACGGGGTGGCTCCGAGTCCTCCACGCCACCAGCGCGGCTCTCGTTCTCCGCGCCTACAGCGCGGCTCCGAGTCCTCCACGCCACCAGCGCGGCTCGCCAGCGTCCACGCCAACAGCGCGGCTCGCTGGCGTCCACGCCATAAGTGCGGCTCGCTGGCGTCCACGCCACCAGCGCGGCTCGCGTCCGCGCCACCAGCGCAGCTCGCTCCGAGTCCTCCACGCCACCAGCGCAGCTCGCTGGCGTCCACGCTGACAGCGCGACTCGCCGGCGTCCACGCCAAAAGCGCAGCTCGCCGTCCTCCGCGCCGACAGCGCTCGTCCGCGCCACCATCGCGGCTCGCCGTCCCCCAGCCACCAGCGCGGCTCCGAGTCCACCACGCCACCAGCGCGGCTCGCCGAGTCCTCCAGGGTTAAGAAGGGAGGCTCCGAGTCCTCCAGCCAAGCTTGAGGGCGCGAGAGGGCGATGGGCGACGGGCTAGGGGGCGCGAGAGGCCGACAGCCAAGCTTGAGGGCGCGAGAGGCCGACGGGCTAGGGGGCGCGAGAGGCCGACGGGCTAGGGCTCGAGAGGGCGAGAGGGAGGAGGGTGAATAGGGGAGAGGCGAATGAGGGCGACGGGCTAAACAGCGCAGCTGTCGTCCCCGCCGAGTTGTGGAGAGGAGAGGCCGACGGGCTAGGGGGCGCGAGAGGCCGATGGGCTAGGGCGCGAGAGGCCGACGGGCTAGGGGGCGCGAGAGGCCGACGGGCTAGGGGGCTAGGGGCCGCGAGAGGCCGACGGGCTTGAGGGCGCGAGAGGCCGACGGGCTAGGGCGCGAGAGGCCGACGGGCTAGGGGGCGCGGCTCCGAGTCCTCGACCTCGTCCCCCATCTCGTCCCGACAGCCACGTCCTTGACTTCCCGACACCGTCCTCATCGTTCATTCATTCACCCCCGACCGACCTCATCATTCACCGGTCACCCCGACCTCATTAGGTCACCCCCGACCGCCCTCATCATTCATTCATCTCGCAGGGGAGCGAGGAAAAAGGAGGCGGGAGGGGAGGGCTCAGAGGGCTAGGGCGAACGAAGTGAGCCCAGAAAAAGAGGCGAGGGTGGGAGGAAGAAGGGGGCTCCCTAAGAAGGAAGCCCACTGGGAGGAGGGGGCTCGCTCGCTAGGGCTCGCGAGGAGGGAGGAGGGGGCTCGCTAGGGCTCGCGAGGAGGGAGGAGGGGGCAACGGGCTAGGGGGCGAGAGGGCAGGGGGCGAGGTCGTCTGACCGACTCAAGAGGGCAGGGGGAGGGAGGAGGGAGGAGGGAGGAGGGCGAGAGCGACAAATAAGCGTGCGATAGAAGGACAAATGAGATGGTAAAGGGGAAGCGAGAGGGGAGGACGGAAGGGCAAGTTAACTTAAGGAGGGCGGAAGGGCAAGTTAACTTAAGGAGGGCGGAAGGGCGAGTAAAGGGGAAGGCGGAAGGGCGAGTAAAGGGGAAGGCGGAAGGGCGGGAAAAAGGGAGGTGAGACAGGAGGGGGAGGGGGATGGGCGTGGAGGAGGGGAGGTGGGGGCGTTGCAGAGAAGGTCGTCGGATGTAGGAACTGGGATGCGTGAAGGAATGCGGATGCACCGCGCGTGCGTCGGGACGCGAATGTGTGAAGGAACGCGGGATGCGTGAAGGAACACCGGTGCGGGTGTATGCGCTTGATACTGGCGGGGCGGCGGGCGGTAGCGAGACCAGGACTGGCATTGCAAGATATGGCATAAAGGTCAGACTTCAAAGGGCCATGGCATTGGAGATCGAGGGGCGAGGGCGCGGAGGAGAGGGTTGGCAGTGATCGACGATGGTCGCAAGAGGCAAGACACACAAGGAGGTTGGTCACGGGCTTGTGGTACAGTGGTAGCACGTTCGCTTAGCATCTGATTTTCGGCTGATTGCGAAAGGTCCTGGGTTCAATTCCCAGCAAGTCCATGCAGGCACGACAAGCATATTTTTGCTCTTCTGCACTACTCATACTTACGTTCGCCCTCGAAAGCGATCATGCGTTCATCCCACCATTCACGCGTCACGGTTCAGAGGGAGACGCATCTTCTTGCAACGACGTCTCTTGCTCTCAACCGTCGCTATCGTTGGCGTCGCCCTCACCGATCGCGTCCTCTCCCTCCGTACGGGCAGAAGGAGGCCATGACCCGCCGTTGTGCTCGTTCGTAGCGGGAGCACGATCGCCAGCAGGAGAACACGACCGCTCGCAGGAGAACACGACCGTCCGCAGACGGAGAACACGCCTGTCCTCAGGAGGAGAACCCGCCCGTGCATGAACGAGCCCACGCTCGACCGCAGAACGAGCCCACAACCATCGTCCGTCGTCCTCCGCCGCGCCTCGTACCCTCACGCTCACCCGTCCCTACAGTCATTCACGCGTCGCAATGCATGAGAACCCGCGCATACATCCTGCGCCGCAAGCCACGCCTACGTCCTACACCACAACCCGCGCCTACGATCGACTGGACCATCCCCCCACCGTCGTCTACCACGAAGCCCACCGTCGTCTACCACGAAGCCCGCTAGCGCATCCACGAAGCCCACAGCCCCACCGCGTCGATCTCATCCTCTAGCGCCCCTCCCGCCTGCATCCCCCTTCCACCTGCATCGAGCGGTTCCCCTCCGCGTCACCCGCCTCCCCCAATACCCTCTCTTCCCTCTCTCCCTCATCGACCTCTCTCCCTCGTCCGCCCCTTCTTCCTCTTCCCCCTCCCCTCCTCTCCTCTCTCCCCGTCCTTCCCCTCCGTCCTTCTCGTCCCCCTCCATCCCTCCCAGCCTCTTTGCCTTTGCGTTCTCGTCCCCCCCTCCCCCCCTCCGTCTCGTCCCCCCCGGCCTTTGCCTTCCATCCTCCCCCCCCCTCCCCCCTTGATACAGAACGATGGAAAAGGGCGATGGGAGGCGGGCGACCGGCGATAAGAGGGAAGGCGGGGATGCAAGAGAGGGAAGGCGGGGCGGGGCGACCAACAACAGTGGGAGGCGGGCGACCGGCAACAGTGGGAGAGGAACAAAAGACGATGGGAAAAAAGGCGATGGGAGGCGGCCGGCAACAGTGGGAGGGAAGGCGGGGCGATGCAAGGGAGGGAAGGGGGGCGACGGGAAAAAGGCGAAGGGAAAAAGGGCGACCGGCAACGGGAAAGTAGGAGTAAGGCGATAAGAGAGGAGGCGGGGCGACCGGCAACAGTGGGAAAGGAGGCGGGGCGATGGGAGGCGGGGCGACCGGCAACAGTGGGAGAGGAGACGGGCGAACGCATTCTCCTCCCTGGTCCCCTTCCTCCCCACACGCCCGACGCGCCCGACTCGACAGGCGGCTACAACGACGACGACTCGGCTCGCCCCGGCTATAATGACTCGACAGGCGGTTACGACGACTCGGCTCGACGCGGGCTCCGACGACGATTCCACGGCGAGCGAGGCGCTCGCGACCTCCCCTTCCTCGCGCTCGCCCCCTTCCTCGCGCTCGCCCACGGCGCTTAGGGCTACAACGACGATTCCTCGCCAGCGAGGCGGCTACGACGCGCGTAAGGCGAGCGAGGTCCAGCGCGTCAGGCGTGCGAGGTCCAGCGCGTCAGGTGTACGAGGCGCAGCGCTTAGGGCTACGCACGCTGCTAAGTACTGCATAGCGACAATGATGGCTTGTGGGTAGGCCCACGGACGATGCACGCTAACGGACGATGCACGCTAACGGACGATGCACGCTAACGGACGATGCACGCTAACGGACGATGCACGCTAACGGACGATGCACGCTAACGGACGATACACGCTTAGCTAGCTTACTAGCGACGACGACGCACGATAGAGGGAGGTCTCTCTCCCTCTGCGTATTATTCTCCCTCTGCGTAGTATCATTCTCCCTCTGCGTATTATTGAGACTGTCGCGAATCATCTGGACGTCGACTCTCTCGCGGGTACTGTAGGTGTGGCCCGTGGGTAGATACTTGGATTCGCGAGCAGGTACTTTGGATTCGCGGGTAGATACTTGGATTCGCGGGTAGGTACTTGGATTCGCGGGTAGGTACTTGGATTCGCGGGTAGATACTTGGATTCGCGGGTAGCTACCAAAGTGAGTAGCAGGAGAAGTAAGAGAATTCAAGAACAGCTTCAGGAGTTCTTAATGAATTCAAGACTCGGAGCAACTTCAGGAGAAGTAGCAAGTTCAGGAGAAGTAGCAAGTTCAAGAGAAGTAGCAAGTTCAAGAGAAGTAGCAAGTTCAAGAGCAGCCTGCTCCAGGGGATAGGTGAGTCCAAAAGTAGCAAGGGAAAAAGGAAAGGGGTTTCCTGCTCAAGCTCATCATGCAAGTAAACCATCCTCTCAGGCTGTTCATTGAAAAAAAAAGCACTCAGGCTGTTTGTTCATTATGAAAAAACCACTCAGGATGGGGGAAAAAAGGCAATTAAAGTGGAAAAAACAATTACTTAGGATGGGAATTAAAAAATACTCATAGAATGGGAAAAAATACTCAAAGAATGGGAAAAAAATACTCATAGAATGGGGAAAAAGTATGGCTTTCGATGGTTCCGATATTGGACTTGCTGGGAATTGAACCCAGGACCTTTCGCAGGTGTATCGCAGTGAGATGCGAAGCGAACGTGCTACCACTGTACCACAAGCCCATGGAAAATAGCGTAACACAAGCCCATAGCAAGTAACGTAACACAAGCCCATAGCAAGTAACGTAACACAAGCCCATAGGAGGTGGCACAAGCCCATCCAAGATGCAATAACACAAGTCGAGTTTGCCACGGAGGGCGGTCGAGTTTTGCTGCGCAGGACTGTCAAATTTTGCCACGGAGGGCTGTCAAGTTCTGCTACGGAGGGCTGTCAAGTTTTGCCACGGAGGGCTGTCAAGTTTTGCTAGTACGGAGGGCTGGGGATAACCTCGGCCTAGAACGATGGAAAACGTGGGCTCAGACGACGTCCATCGGCGGTTTGTGAAACGTAGGCTGCCAGCGTCAAACCAACGATGGTCGTGGGCCCGAAATCTGCTGTCACACGGCGGTTGATTCCCTCGCGGTGTACACTGTAGACGTTCAAATCGAGGAGTTGTAGACGTCCGAATCGGGAAGTTGCAGACGTACGAATCGGGAAGCTGCAGACGTTCAAGTCGTCGAAAATTCAGTAGAGGCAGAAGGGGAATCGCTTCACCTTGTCGCCGAGATTTTGTCGCCTTGTTGCACGGAGTCATATCGCCTCGTCGGCGGGAGTCACGTCGCCTTGTCGCCTGGAGATATATCGCTTCGTCACCGGGGCTCAACTTGTCGCCTCGTCACCGGTCGTCGACTTGTCGCCTCGTCACCGGTCGTCGACTTGTCGCTTCGTCACCGAGCCTCAACTTGTCGCCTCGTCACCAGTCGTCGACTTGTCGCCTCGTTCAGCGTCGTCGGCCGGAGTCGACTGGTCGCTTCGTCGGCTGGAGGCGCGTCGATTCGGAGCCTCACTTCGCAAGTGCCTCTTCGACTACTACGTTGCCGCCAAAGACTCGGAGGAGTCGCCGGAGAAGAGGGTAGCCACGCGCAAGCCGGAGTCGCATTTCGCGAGATGAGTAAGTCGCATCTAGTGAGCCGGAGTCGCATCTCGCGAGATGGAGGCATCGCATTCCGCGAGATGTAGTCGCATTCTGTGAGATGGAGGAGGTGAGCCGTAGGAGTCGCATTTTTGCGAGATGGAGGAGTCGAATTTTTGCGAGACGGAGGCGTCGCACTTTGCGAGATGGAAGAGTCGAATTTTGCGAGACGGAGGCGCATTCTGTGAGACGGAGGAGTCGCATTTGGTGAGCCGTAGGAGTCGCATTTCTCGAGCGGGAGTCGCATTTTGTGAGCCAAGGAGTTGTACCGCGCGCGAGCCAGGGGTAGCCGCGAGCGAGCCGGAGCAGTCGTACCGCGCGCGAGCCGGGGCAGTCGTACCGCGCGAGCCGAGGAGTCAAATGGCAGTCATGCTTGCTTTGCCCCGTAGCCCTAAAGCTTGCGTGGCCGCGTATCCGTAAAGCTTGCGTGGCCCCGTATCTGTAAGGCCTGTTTGGCCCCGTATCTGTAAGGCGCTATTTCGGCTTAGCCTTTCATTCACAAAGAGAAGACGATGGGAGGTAAGGAAACGACGGAGGTTAGAAAAGGACGGAGGTAAGAAACGGACGGAGGGAAAGGAGAACGGGTGGGGAGAGCGACGGAAGGGAGAGCAAGTAAAGCAAAGGCGGAGAGAGCGAGGGAGGAGAGTGCAAGGGAATGGGGCGCAAGGGAGAAGAGCAAGAGGAATCGGAGGGAGAAAAAGAGGTGTGAAGAGAAGAGAGCAAGGGAGGAAAGATCAAAGGAAGAGATAAAGGGAGGAGAGAGCGAGGGAGAAAAGGAAGAGAACAAGGGAGGAGGGAGAAAGGGAAGCAAGAACAAGAGAAGAGAAAGCAGGGTGCGAGATCGATCGGCGGCGTGGTGCTTGGTCGACCAGCTCGACGAGGGAAATGTACAGTCCAGTCCGGATCCAATCCATGTAGTCAAAAGCGTCGCAATGGTTGACGAAGCTGGATACCCAGTGCAGGCGCTTCGCCAGAACGGCTCAAAGAGCACGAGAATGCGGCGCAGCATGTGCCGCACGACATGGCTGTTCTACAGGTCAACCCGGCGCCGTCTGCGGTAGAGACCGGGTGTCAGTCACCTTCACCAAAACAAACCGTTTTTTTGAGTCAGAGATGTCTGGAGAAGGATGTTGCAATTACGCTTATATGGAAAGGAAAAGAAGTATTGGGAAGGAAGGCTTGAGGCTTGAGAACGCCGAGAAATCCGTTGGCGAGATGAGCGTCTCATGGAGGTGCGAAGGAGAGCGTGGACGGCTGCGGTTTCCAACACGCGCACGTGACTACACGCTGATTGCCGGCAGAAAGTACTGTTTGAAATGGATACCGCGTTCATTCTTTCCTCCCGCCACTTGCCCGCCACCCTCTAGTGTCTGCCTCACCTCGTACTTTTTCCATCAACTCCTCCGCGTTTGCTCTTCATTGTCATGGGCGACACCAACAACCACGTCGAGGACCTCTGGTTCCCCGACGGCAACATCATCATCCGCGTCGGCGAACGCGTCGGCGCCGAACGCGTCGGCGAACGCGTCTGTCGCGTGTACAAAGGCTTTTTTGCCACGCAATCGCCCGTCCTCGCGGATATGTTATCCACTTTGCAGACCAACGGCAGGGACACCGTCGGCGGCATACCTGTTGTGACCTTCCCCGACGAGCGGGAAGACGTCCTTCACTGGTTGAAGGCGATGCTAGTTCCCGGGTGCGTCCTTTGTCCGCGTCCTTCGATCTCTATGACTAACACGGACATCGCTGCGCAGATACTTCGACATGGACAGGAATCGCATCGATCCAGACAAACTCCTCGCCGTCCTAAGACTAAGCCACAAGTACGACGTGCACGCCCTCCGCCGGCGTTCTCTCGAGTACCTCGCTGGCTTCCTGCCCGTCGACTATCAAGACTTTCAGTCCAAGCACTATGCGCACAATGTCATGTCACGACTGGACAACGCGCCACTGGACTTTTATCCCCCCATCTACGCCATCGCGCGCGAGATCGGCGCTCTGTGGCTCATACCCGGCATAATATACAAGATGCAAAATATCATGTCCGGGAAAACAAGCATGCTGGACGCCATACACAGACTGCCAATGCCACTGAACGCATCGTTCGTCAAACGGATGGACAAAGTCTCCAGGCTCATCACGCGGTGCTTCCCTTCCAGCAGCTTCATCTCGATCAGACAGAGCTGCCCTCGTTCGCCGATCGACTATTACGATGAGTATGATTCAGACGCTGAGCCTTCGTGCGGCACGCAGTGGTACGATCTCGATTTTTGGTTGCAAAGGCTGCATGCCGATCCTTTGCGCTTCTACGGGCGGGACGGCGGGGCGTGGGCTGGGGGTGCTGACATGGAGGAGGAGGAGGGTATGTGTGACGGCTGCTGCAAAGCTATGCGCGCGCGTGTTGAGCGCGGATGCGCGAAGTTCTGGGACGAGCTGCCAAAGTGTCTAGGGCTTCCTGCGTGGAAGCATCTGCTTGCCGCGAAGGCCAAGGATCTTTCTAACATAGACTGAGGGTCATAAATTGTACACTGTTACGCGGATACCTGCTGTGAACGCCACGCCAGCTGACAAAGCTGACAAGCGCTGAGCTGGGAAGTCGCGCTCGGAGAGTCGGGAATGGAAAGGAGCATTATGCCGCGAGTTGTTGAGCGAGGAACCCTCGCCGAATTCTGAGGGGCCGGAAGAGTCGATGAGGGGGGAGCGAGGACAAGTGATGCACCAGGACAGCGCAGATTCGAACACGCGCGTGGCTGCCCATGCACGTGACAAACTGCATGCTGATCCAGTGATCATTGTCATTGTGCCGCGCGGCGCGTCGTTTTTTCCTCCCACCACGATCGCATTGGACCTCCTTCTGCTGTCTGCGTCGTCTCTACTCTGACGCGTGCGCTTACTCCCCTGATGAGCGAAGGCAAGAATTGCGCGAAAGGGCTCTGGTTTCCGGATGGGAACCTGATCATCCGCGCCGGCGATCGTGTCTGTCTCGTGCACAAGAGTGTCCTCGCGTCCCACTCGCCCGTCCTCGCGGACATGTTCTCCATCCCTCAACCCGACATCGCGGACATGGTCGACGGCATACCTGCCATGACGTTCCCCGACCCGCCGAAGGAGGTGCTTCACTGGTTGAGAGCGATGCTGGTCCCTGGGTGCGTGCCCCCGCTGCGATTTGACCATGCTTGACTGACACACGCACCGCCGCGCAGGTACTTTGATATGCATCCGCACGCCATGGACCTAGTCAGACTCTTCGCCGTGTTGCGGCTGAGCCACAAGTACGACGTGCAACACCTCCGCCGCCGTGCACTCGGTTACCTCGCTAGCCTGCTGCCCGTCGATGTGGAGGCGGCTCAGACCCCCTGGTACTGGCACGGCGCGCCCCTCGACTTTTTCATCCCCACTTATGCCGTCGCACACGAAGTCGGCGCGCTCTGGCTGATACCCAGCATCATATACAGGCTGCATGCGCACCAGACCGACGAGCCGGGCTTCCTGGACGATATAAACACCCATACTATGCCGCTAAAAGCACAGCTCATCACCCAGCTGTACAAACTCTCCCAGCTCATCTCCGAGCACTTCTCCGCTGGCAGCACCGTTGGCATCAGGCGCGACTGTCACCCGACTCCGCCGCCTCGCGATCGGCCGCCGTCTTGCGACTCGTCGTGGGAGGACTTGGACCGTTGGATGAAAGGGCTGCGTCAGGACCCTTTGCACTTCTATGGCAAGATCAGCGGGTCGCCCGCGGCCACTACGGGGCTGTTTTTGGAGGATTGCGAGTCCATGTGCGACAGCTGCCGCAATACTATGCAAGCGTACGTCGAATATGCATGTACCGCATTTTGGGACGCGATACCGGATTGTCTGGGCCTTCCCGCATGGGGAGACCTGCTTGCGGCGAAGGCCAGGGATCTTGCCATTCCCATATCGGCATGGGAGAACGTTTCTGAAGGATCGGGTGAAGAGGATGCATGAGATGTATGTAGTTGCGCGCGCGCATGTACAATGTATCCTGTGGGGTCACGCGTTTGTCGCTTCTCGGGGACTCGTTGG